AGAGAGAGAGAGAGAGAGAGAGAGAGAGAGAGAGAGAGAGAGAGAGAGAGAGAGAGAGAGAGAGAGAGAGAAAGAGAAAGAGAGAGACAGAGAAGAGAAAGAGAGACCACACTGCAGAATACAAAGCCTGTCAGTGTCATGTAGCATGCGCCATTGAAGCAATTACTTTTTCTTTTCACCAAACAGTTTTCAGTAAAGTAGTAGTTCCAGTAAATTATTTTATAGCCCATTCAGTTAAAGTAGAAGTGTAAATAAATGCTACATTCAATGTCACAAAGCTTTAAAGCAAGCTATTATCATTTTTAGGAACAGAGACAGAAGGAGGTGATTTGTGACCATAACAGAGATGTAAAAAAAACTGTCTCAATTCATGGTTTGTGTCCTGACTGTCCTCTGTAGTGTGCTGTAGGCCGGCTATACACTGCACCACGTAGAAGGATGTCCCATTTTGTGAACTCCTTCTCATACGGTCGACAGAGGCAGCCCACAAAACCCCAAAACAGGAAGGACGCATCGCAACAGATGATATTCCAGGATTTGTTGTACCATCATCAATTTTTACAGGAAAAAAAAAGGCAGAGTCTGGAAAGTTAACACGGACTGAAAAATCTGATGTTTAGCAACTTAGCTGATGAAATTTATGTGGCAATATGATATAAAAAAGGTACTGATACAGGAGCTAAACTCAAATAAATGTCTTCTGTGTATTTATGTGCAACGTTATAAAAAATTAATCAAATTTTGTGACGTTATGCCTCCCACGAAGAGACATAAGAATACATGTTCCAATGCATTTTAAGTTTTACACATTTATGGGTGATATAATCAATTTGTACGTGGGCTACAAATTGAGACACAGCTTCTGTATGGATCGTTTATTTCCCTCATTCTCTCTCAAAATAACAACAGACTTCTATCTAAAAGCAAAATAATCAGTTGTTTAGCATCAGCATCCTGGTACAAGGAGCACACATTCATACTGGAAATAAAGCCCAGCAGCTGCTGAAGACTTGTCTTTTAGCCTCAGAGGGGAAGATCTAAAACAAAAAAGCTTATTCACAGGTGCAAATTTAGCTTAAAAATATTACATTTGCTCAATCATTTTTTTTTTTTTATTGGCAGCGCAACAACTTAATGGTTAGCACTGATGCCTCACAGCAAGAAGGTCCTGGGTTCAATCTTAAATAAAATAAGGGTTTATAAATAAAACAGTCCTTAACTTCACTGCTTATTGATTCATAGTTTAACTATTTGACCTTTTCTCCACCTCTGAGTCTAAAGAAGCCCAGCAGTTCATGTAAGTGTTTAAAACATCTTCATTGCAAACCAGCCATTTGACCAAAGAAGCAATTTTTGCAGCTTATCTGCAGAAGAGTAAAGGCATATTAACGAAGATCATTAATCGAAGAATTGCCAGTTTGCAGCAGATGCAGGAAGCTGGTTAAGAAAACCTAACAAGGAACCAAATGGTCTCTTTAGGTCTGCGAGAGTTTGACTCATTTTGTTTTTCCTCCAGAAATGTGTGAACTCATATAGATTAACAGCGATGAGTGAATGTATGTTTGGAACTACCCGTGGGAAAAATGCGGCACAGAATTCAAATGGTCACATTCTCTCTATCTCGTTCACGCTGATCACACTCGACTTACGGCCGTTTCTCCTCTTCATCACTCACCCTTCTCTCCGGGCAGACCTGGTGACCCTGGAAACCCAGGGATACCAGGTTCTCCGGGTTCTCCACGAAGTCCAGGTGCTCCTGCAAACCCGGTGCCGGGCTCACCGGGGCCACCGGGACGACCTTTGAGTCCCGGGTATCCTTGGAAACCCTTCTCACCAATCGAGCCAACGCCACCATCGCCCTGGAGGATCGAGAAAAAAGATAACGCAAAGAAAGGAGGAAGAAAAGATAAAGGAAGCAAATCCGAATGCAAATACAAAACTCAAGATGGCCACCTAAGCTAAAAAGGAAAATACCATAAATAAGACATTTTTATATTTATTAAAGGGATCCCCGATTAGTTGTAACATTAGACTTTATATGTTAAACATATACTGTACTTTAACTGTAAAATAAAGACTGTAAAAATACTGTAGGATGTTCAGTTTTTATAATTTTTAAACTAAAAGTTTAAAAATATATTACACGGATGGGGCCATTTTATTTACACGCAAAGCATTCTGGGCAATTGATGACATCAACTGGGTCATCAGCACAAGGCTGCTATCGAGCTATATCCACCCT